CTCACAATTAAAACTAGAACGTGAGATTTGCACGAGGCTTTTTAAAGAATGCTACTCCGCATCCAAGTTCCTACTCCGGAACGAACTTTGCTTGAATCCTTTATTCACCAAAGACTCAAAACATTCATTAGTCGAGTTTGTCAATTTGTCCATCAAAACCAAAAGGCTCAACAAATTCCCCCTTTTTGATGATGACAAACATTGACAAACTTAGGTAAATAAAATCATCCAGGCATGCAACAAAAATTTAAATTAAGGCATGAAAACAAAAAAACAATTAAAGAACTTAGAAAAATATTAAAAAGTATTTTACTACTAAAATGCATACTTTTAGGGGGGGTCAATTGGATTAGGCTCCCTTTCTACAGGCAGCCGTAACTTTCCCATTTTCTTTTAGCTCTTAAACTTTTCTTATCCATGTTGGAGTGTTATTATAAAATGCTCATTAAAAGCTACACCAAGTAAACTATTTTTCATTATTTATATTGTTGAGGTGCTCTATAATTTTATAGCATCGATCCTTAAGCTGGTCACACTCTAACACACCCAAGTACTTAAGAATTGAGATATAAAGATTATACAGGAGCCATACAAAGTTAAAAACTTGCTTGAGATAGGAATAAGGATGCATGTAATGTATCTTGTTAATTACTATGTTTTTCAAAGATAAATAGGATTGAGTGACCAAATTATTATATACTTATATAGTTGTATATTATTCTTTGTATCTTACAACAAATAGAGATCATTTGTAAAGTGGAATCTTGTTATTATATATTTGTATAAATAAGATTGAGTGACCATTTATTTTAATAAAACATAAACTTTTTTGCATTAAACCGCATAAAAATCTCAGTTTTGTTGTGATGGAATTGCGGTATTGGGCAGTTCCACCACAACTAAACCAAGATTTTCAGGCGGTTTCATCTCCAAATTATATATGTAAAAAAGTCATTACTTATAAGGATTCGACACTCCTTCCTTGCGACAACATCAAGGGACGACATCAAGAGTGATGGTGGGGATTGGAGTTTTGTTAGGGGGTTTGAGAGTCATTATACTTACTAAAGAGAACATATGTAACTAGTTTAAATTGCAGATTGTTTAATTTATCTATATATCTATATTAAAATAACAATCGCTTACCTCATTTTTTCTCTCCATAACTTCTTATAATCTAGTCCAAATTATTTCTTTTTTCTTGTAGATTTCTAACTATAATTTTGGGATTTTTTTCATTTTTTATTTTTTTTCATTTTTTTCTTTCTCCTTCCCTATATTCAAGGAAATTTTTGAGTTGTCCTACCTTAAACTTGATGAATACAGATGGTTTGTTCTATTTTCTACTTTTTGCATTCAAAATAAAATTTATATTAAAAATCACTCCTTCATATTAAAAAAAAAAAAAAAAAAAAATCATACATTGGTTCAAAAAGCCGAACATCGCTTGGGGATTAATTAGTTTCTCACTACACTATTCCGTATAATTAAACCTTGAAAAAAAGGTCCAAAAAAGATTGTGTAAAGACATAAATTGGTTTGATAGCATGCAAAATTGGGCTAAGCCCAAAGAATAAAAAAAGCGACCAAAGCTTATTAATATTGGGTTTGTGCACTAGTACATATGCACATACTGTACGTCACTGGATTCACTACGTCAAGAGACCCAATTGGTCTAAGCTGCACCATTATGCAACTATTTTAGCTGCAACACCAGCCCACAAGCCCAATTTTAAATGCGTCCCATTTAAAAAACCCCAAATCAAAACGAGCCCACCCAAAAAACAGAATATATCTTTAAAATGCAGTCCAACTAATTGTCATTTATACAAAACCGTCACTTTTAACAGCTATTTTTTTTTTAATATGATTTATTTAAAAAAAATCGTCACTTTCAAACTTAAATTTCTGAAATTTATTTCTTCTCTCGTTGATTCCTCTCACTTACAATTAAACACATTTCACTCTCTCTCCTCCAAAACAACCATGGATATTTGAGATGAGATGAAAATCAAACGGATTCTCCCAAAAAAGGTAATTTTATGTAAATTTCACTTAATTTTGTTTGAATTTATATGAATATTACTTAATTAATTTTGTTTCAATATTGTTCGATACTCTATTGTTCGAAATTTTTATTGGAATTGTTAAAAAATTTAGTGAAATCAAACGGATACCTTATGTTCATAAAATGTTTTGAAATGTTCATAATTTTATTATTTGTTGTTCATATGATAAATATTCTTAATGTTCATAAAATGTTTTCATTTTTTCTGTTTTGTCTGTTTATGCTTATGTTCATATTTTGAATGCTTATGTTCACTTTCTGAAATGCATATGTTCACTTTCGTTCTTAAATGAATATGTTCATATTTTGAATCCTTTTGTAAACTTTCCGAAATGCTTATATAAACTTTCTGAAATGCATATATTCACTTTCTGAAATATATATGTTCATATTTTTTTATGTATATGTTCACCTTCTAAAATGCTTAATTATGTTCATATGTATTCAAAAATTGAACCAATGCATATGTTCATATTTTGAATGCGTATGTTTATTTTCTAAAATGCATATATTCATATTTTTAGTGCATATGTTCATATTTTTAATACTTATAATGCGTATGTTTCATAATCATTTTGTTTTCTATTTCTTCATTTTTCTTATGTTCATAATTAAAGGCTGTAAATTCAATTCATATGAATTGCATGTTCACAAACCCAATCAAATTTGTCAAAATTCATTACAAATTAAAATCACCACAAAAAAATCAAAATTCATACATAGATCAAATTGATAGAAATTGCAATTGCAATTGAATATAACCTAAAAAAAACCTAATTACAATCAACAAAATAAAACACTAATCTACATTGATGATCACTTAAGGAATAACAACTAATTCCATAGTAAGCAACAAAATCAATCAAAAAAGTGAAACAAAAGAGAAAAATAACGAAAACACATGAGAGAGAAAATGAAGAACGAAAGAGGAAAAACAAAGGAGAATAAAAATTTGATGAAAATTGTGATCGAAATTTTGATGAACATTTTGATTAAAATTATTATAGGAAAGAAAAGTGAAGTGAGAAGTACTACGGTCAATTTGTGTTCATCACCTATTACAAATTGGCAAATTACCCAAAAGTTATATATGCAATACCAATCACAAATTCAGAAAATATAACCAATTAAACCAAATTACAAATCAATAACATAAACTAACTTATATCAACAATCTCTTCAAAATTCCAATTAAATCTATCACGAATCAACGAAAATACAAAATATGGAGGAGAGAGAAAATCTTAAAAGAAGAAAATAATGCCAAACACAGTGGAGAGAGAAAATTTTAACCAAAATTAAGAATTAAGTAAAGAATTTGGAAAAAAGAAATAAAATAGGAAGAAGATTATAGGAAGGAGATGAACTAATATATATCAGTACTCTAGTAATACATAGGATATGTGTGTGTTTGGTGTATAAAAGCGGGTATTTGATGAGTGGTGCGGCCAGCTTAAATGCACAAGGGTGCATCTAAGAATATGCGCAAAAGATCAGTATTATCGGATCGGTGAAGCGTTACTCAACACAGACCAATCTTGAAGTATGTAAGCCACGATTTAAAGCATGAAGAATTGGGGCATTAATTTTGGGCTATATTGTTATAATACACTTTTTTTTTTTTTTTGCTTGAATTAATGCGATAATATCTGATTGATTTGTTCACAAAAATACAAAAATTATCTAATTGATTAAAAAAAATTGAAAAGACAAAAAAAAAAAAAAAAAAAAAAAAACAAACAAACAATTATCTAATTGAATTTTTTTATTTTTTTTAATTAAATTTTTTTGAAAAGTTTATGTCTAGCTAACTTGACAATCAAAAATACTTCCTCTGTTCTATGATTATTGCACCATTTACAATTTTATGATTTTTTTTTCAACCACATATTGTGGGTTGTACATAAAGAAAAATATAGTCATATAGAGTCTTATGATATTTGTCTCGGTATATACTTGTATTTTCATAATATTATAAATCTTCTCATGATGCAATAGTAGTAGAACAGAGGAAGTAAAAGTTTTTAAAAGTTATATCCAACTTTCTTCTAAAATTGATTTATACTTGTAAAATTCAACAATTTAAATTTTGGAAAATCTACATTCAGGGTGTGTTCTCTTCACCTTATTGGACCTGAACTTATATAAACTTATCCGAACTGAACTGAACTTATTAGACCTTAATAAACTTATTAAATCTTATTGAACTTATTAGACCTGATTGAACTTATTAAAACTTATTGGACCTTATTGAAACTTATTAGACCTTATTGTTAGACTTGATTAGAACTTATTGAAACTTATTAGAGCTTAGTTAGCTTATTGAAACTTATAAAACTTATTAAACCTTATTAAACTTATTATAACTTATCTGAACTTATTTTTATAAGGTGATTAGGTGAAGAGAACAAGCTATCAATTATACTCCGTAATATATATAATATAATTGTGTTGTTTACAATCATTTGGAACTAATAATATTGTTAAGCGTTACAAAAAAACATTCAGAATTAATTATTAATTTTTGTAACTAACTTATCACCTGTGGACAAGTTCCAAAAAAGAAAAAAAATGCACATAAAACAAATAATTAGGTGCTCTTAATAAATCAATCAAATGTATCCAAATTCCAAAATCGACAAGATGAAAGTGATGGATCTAAGCAGCACTTTTAAACTACTTGATAGGTTATTAAGTGCTATTTCTTATTTTGCTACAAGTACTCTATAAAGAGCTTGTATAAAGAATATAAAAAGTAGTTCATATTTATGAAGCCTCTATAAAATCACGACTACATTTTTTAGTTACAACACTTAAAATATACTTTCTTTAAGGCTTCGTTCTTTTTATTCATTGATTAAGTAGGTGGATCAAATATAATAAATGTAGACTATAGTACACATCCATAAATTTTTGTAAACTTAAAACAAACGAACTAGCCAAAAAAGGAATTGAAGTAAAATCATTTATGCATGACATTTATATTAAAAATACTATACAATACAGTTGGCAAAGGTATGATCTATAAGTACAATTGTAAGATCTTAAATACTAAGAAGCTACAACAATAATTTATAATATTACTCAATAGACCATATATAGTAAATTATTAAAAATTAAAATTCTAACAAAGAAAGCGAGAAAAGCGAATTTTTCCCCTCACTTTATGAGACCCAAAAAAAAAAAAAAAAAAAACAAATACCAAAAAAAACTATTTGACTTTATAAATTATGAGTAAAAAGGAAAAAAAAAAGTGTAATAGTAAATTTAATTAATTTTGCCTTCTTCAACACCCTCTTCGTCAAGGTAAGCTTTCTTCGTGCGATCAGCACGTGCAAAGAGACAAATAACAAGAAAACACGTGGCATAGATCCCATGAACTTTCCAACTAGTCTTAGGGGGTTGATGCAACACCGCACGATGAAACACCGTCATATAATAATGAAACCCAACAGCAAAGCCCACAAAAGTCTGGGCCAAGCCCAAGAACTTCTGGCCCAGCCCAGACTCAGTAGAAAACACAAGAATCAAATACATCATCAACATCAACAAATACATAACATATCCAAGAGTCTGCAAAACTTGCAACCAAACATAGGTTGACTGCGAAGTAGCGTAAAAAAACCTCAACGGCTCTAACCCAGTAACTAAACTAGAGAAGCATAAGATTGAGAAGTAAATTGAGAGGTAAATCTGGATAAAAATGATGAGTTTTTGGAGGGAGAAATACGCAGTAATGCGGTTAAAAAGTAGAGATACCAGTAAAAATGGAAGAATGATAAAAGCGAATGAAATAGCAGTTGATGCTGAAGAATGATATTGTTTACCTACATATGGTTTGATGTAATTGTTTGTGATCTCATTGTTTGCTTTTGCTAAGTAGATTTTCGAAGTTGTTGAGAATTTGTGTAAATCTGGGATGAATGTTTTATGGAATTTGTTTGTGAAATCTCGGAATTCTGCCATGAAATCGTAGTCGTCTTCTTCATCGTTGTTGTTTAACATTGATGGAGGTTTCTGGGTTTTTTGTTTTTGGGTTTTTTTGGAAGGATCGGATGAGGGTGTTTTGGTAATTTGGGTTGATGATGATTTAGGTTTGGGTAGATCTACGGGTTTGGGTTTGGGTTTGGTGGACTTAAGGTTGAGTTTAGTGAGAGTAGGTGGAGCACCGACATTTTTGGAGGAGGTTTTATTTTTGGAAGAAGACGAGGTTTTTTGTGTTGTAGTTAAAATGGGTTTAGTTTGGTTTTTTTTGGAAGAATTATTAGTGACTAGGTTTTTAGAGGAAGAAGAAGGAGGAGATTTGATGATTGGTTTAGTTTGGTTTTTAGTAGAAGAAGAAGTGGAAGATTTCTTGATTTTGATTTTGGGAATTTCATCTTCATCATCTTGGAGTAGTGTTTTATCTAACAAAGCTCTTCGAGGTAGAAGTAGATTTTGAGAAGTGGCAAAAACTAGAAATGAAGATGAAATAAATAGTAAGTAAAAGAAGAAGACATTTTTGAAGAAATGAGGAAGTGGAGCCATAATTATAAAAATGCAAGGAAATGATGGATCAAATGTTGATGAATAGTAGTAGAGTGTACTAGAAAATTAAGAGTGATAGTTTAGATCTTGAGTGAGAAAGAGAGGAAGAGGAAGGAATGAGGGATGAAAGATGGGTGGATTTAAGCTAAGTAGGGAATCAGGAGAGAGAAAGAAGGGAGTGACGGCAAAGATTTTAATGCAGAGAGAGTGGCAGAGATGGGGTCACACATGGGATATAAGCTAAAGATACGCGCTTCTATGGGGAGTGTGGGCTAATCTTATGCTAAAGTGCTTGTGTAAAGTCCTCACTCAATTACTTTTTTTTTTTTTTTTTTTTTTAGGGGAATGTCCCTCAATTACCTAAATTTAGGGTTGTAAAGTCGAAATCAATTTAAGTACGCTTTTATTTATTTTGATTTATCTGAACTTATATTAATTTTATTTGTCTAAATTTTGAGTAGTTATTAACCTATATTGTCATTTGTTACGGAGTATTTCTTAGTTTCATTTGTTTTAGCGAATAATAAGTTCTTTTAATATCCATATACTGTATATCTTTCGAGGTTTTAAATGCATCATTTTTAATTTGTATTCTATTTGTCTATTAACTATTGAGTAATCTATATGATATAGTTGCGTTGTGAACTTGAAGAAATATATTTTGATATGTCAATGTTCTTAATTTTATTACTCCGTATTACATAATGAAGTTTTATACTTTTATGAGCTTAGATTTGCAAGCTAAGTAGCAGGAACATTAGTAAATTATATAGATTAGTCAAAAGTAAAGTTAGTCCTTAATACTCCATACTCAAGTACCAAGGGAGTTAGAACTTAGGTCAATTTATTTAAAGTGTTAAACACTTAAACTCCACGGTTGCATGCTGCGTCTGGTGGCGACAATGAAGAGTAGACGCAGACAGTCAAGTAATGACGGTGTTGACTGATGAGTGTGGACAAACACTAATAATAGTCCAATCTATTGACTTTTTACTCACTTATTAGACTCAATAAGTGATTAGCCAGATCTTTCCTAGTATCTTCTGCTCTATTGATCTTCAGTTAATCAATTCCATAATCTTTGCTATTAACATTGATGACTAAACCTTATTTTTTTAATGCTTTTAATCCAAACTTTACTCTTATCATCTTTTAAATTAAGCTAACACAGATTTGTTCGTTTAATTAATTAAAAAAATAATTCAGTGTATCTCATTACAAATAATGCATGTTATAATAACAGAAAGAATCAGTAGTACATTAAATGAAAACACATGTGAGTATGTGACATGATGACAGCAAGTGAAGGGAGCTACTCAAAGATATGCTTAGCTACCACATGAATCAAGAAAGAAAGGAGGAAGACCGTTTTCACATTTCCATTTCTTGATATAATGATTGTCTTTACACACGGCATCTATTATATGACGAGGCCAGGCCTATTTACTCGATTAATTACGATAGTTATGTTGCAAGGGCTTATTAATTACTGCTTATCAAATAAGTCGTGATTGTACCCTTGTGTAACGGAATAGCTTAATAATAAATATTTACACTTGGCCTCAAACTTGTGAAAATCAATCAGATTACTAAAAATAGTACACTAATGAGTTAGCTTAATAAATAGTGATAGTATTTGCACTTTGCATTGCATGATATAGTGATATTCATCCATGTACCTGGGTTGCTAGAAGGGTCTTTTCATCATTTTCATCAAAACTTGGAACTTTCTCACCTTCATATTCAGCTGCCATAACTCTATCATCATCATTATAATCTTGCTTTTCTAGTCTTGAAAATTGAAGCTTGTTAGAATGACTGCCATCGATTAATTGTGTTTCGGATTCTATTAAACTCTGCGTCCTTGCCCGTTCTCTGTCTCTAGGATAAGTGCAGTAAAGGAAGGAATAGATAGCACAACAAACTGTCATTGTAATACTGAAATTGATGTTAAGAGCCTTTGCAAGCGCGGTAGCATTTTCCCTGTCAGTTTCTTTCACTGCAGATTCTGATGATCCTTCTGGGACAGGCTTGTAGCCGTATACATGCTGAGCTAGTACACCAACTAGAGGTGGAGCAAACGAGTTGAGTACCGACTCAAAGGAACAATCTAATGCATAAATGCTCGTTCGATGTTTCTCAGGTACTATTTCTGCAAAAATTGGACTGACAGTAGGCAATAAACACTCAGTTTTATGTTCAAAGTTACATATTTTTTTACTCAAAACAAGTAATGGCTAATAGAAACATACTTGTTTGTGGCTGGAGCGTTCCATGAAGTGGTGAGTCCCATGACGAACAAGACTAAACCGTACTTAAAAGAGCTAGCAGGATCATCTTGTATTCCTAAGAACAAAATTGCTGCCAAAGGAATTGCAGACCCGGAACTTATCTGAGACAGAATAATTCTCCCACAGTTTGGCAGTCTTTTAGATAAGATATCTCCCATTTTCCCACCAAATAAACCTCCAAGAGAATTACCAATCACATACAGGGTTATGAGGAACGCGGTTGTTTCATGGGAGAAGCCAATGAGTTCTAACCACATGGGAGCGAATGAGAATAACCCTGACCAAGGAAATGTTCCAGCAACACCCTGAGCAACAATTATCTGAAAAGATGGAATTCGGATAACAGATTTTGCTTCCAACAGTACCTCCTTAAGTTCTGTGGAGAAGGACATGTTTGAAGTACTGTCACTTCTAGTTTTATTTGCAAAGCGCGGATCAGTGGCAAAAACTTGAACTAATATGCCAACTGCAACGCTTATAATCCCAACTAAATGGAAGGCTAGCCTCCATCCTGGAATTCCCATGAAAGATGTAGAGGCTATCATTACAGAGAAAACACTTCCTAGGATGGCTCCTATGTTTCCTGTTAGTTGCAACCATCCAAAGGCCATACCGCGGGTGCTCTCTTCTGTGGAGTCTGCTACGAGGGACTGAATTGCAGGTATTACAATGGCTAGTCCTATACCATTCAGTGCTCTTGATATCGCCACCTATTTAATTAGAAAGTTTTAATTAATACTCTCAGGCTGCTATCAATTTGTGGGGCTAATCATGATAATGAATGGCGAAATTGCAGCATATTAAAGCAACAAACAGTCTGTTTCCTTTGATTTGCTCCTGTGCCGTGGAAAAAAAAGGACTAATACTAGGAAGAAAGCATTAGAGAATTGTCTTAATTGTTATTGAAAGAGGTAAAACAGTCAATCAAATTCATGATCATCTGATTATTACTCCTTTATTATCATCTAAATGCCCTGAAGAAACAATCTGCTTTTTCTATTGTTTATCTGAAGGCTAATGTACAATTCACAATTTCACATTTGAATAGTATTGAATTATTGAAACTAAAAAAAAAAAACAATTAAAATTGTGTTCCCTATGATTTGAATTCATTTCACATCATTTTAAACTCATCATTTCTACTACTTACCACCAGCATCAGTCAGAGTGCAGAAATCATTGCAGTAGAAAAAAGTCAACGCAAGCAAGAAAACCACAAAACTTGAAAATTTATTGCAAGAAAAAGAAAAAGAGGTAGACCTGGAAGAAGGTGGAGGAGAAGGCAACAAGAAAGGTAGCAGCAGCCCAAAGATAAGCACCAAGAGCAATGACAAAGGTTCTATCATGGCGTGTAGCAAGGTAAGCAGCAAGAGGATAGCAAGAAGACTGCACTATGCATCTGAAGAGTGTGAGGGAGCCGAGACCGGTAGGATCGATATTCAGGGCAGCTCCCACTTCTTTGTATACACCTGGGAGTAATGACTCGTCTGCTCTCTCTAGTATACCTGCTATATTCGCCAGCAGCAGTGTTACTGCCTCAGGGCTCATTTTTGCTACACTTTTTCTTTTGCCTTTATTATGGGAGTAATATAATTTCTTGTTCGATTGTTAGCAACAAGTTGGACTTACATGTGGTCTGCCAATCGCATGGTAATTTGGGAATCCATAGGACTTGGAGGGAGTGATTTGGCCCATTTTGGGGAATAATACCAGTATTTTGGATTAATCTGGGTTGTGACTTGAAAAAATACTATAATAACTTTAAGTTCCAGGCTTTTCACTGTCTTTTAGGCTTTGGTGAGAGCCTAAAATAATTTATACCAGAGCTGGAGTAACAGGTCACTAGACACAGAAAATTCGCGTGTGTTGACATTTAATAAATCGAGAATGGAAATAGCATTCAAATGAAGGCATTCACTCTTAGTTTTCTAGTAAAATGACCAAGTTTAAGCACTAATTTAAGGAACTAGTGGTGCATATAATATGTTAGTATTGAAAAAATAAGTACTGAATGCTTGTTTCATGCGTGGACTATACTCCAGTATTTTACTGGAAGATAACATTAGCATGTGAAAATATTCCACAAAGCTTGTCTAAGAGGTTAATGTTAATTATTTCTTAAGAGTAGATTAAGCTTTAATTTATATATTTGCTCAATTATGCTATCTAACAAGTTAAAAGCTGTAGCTTTGAACAGATCTTACATGCATTTGGCAGACAAGTTTCATCTTTCAAGGCTTTGCTACACATAAACGACAAAAAAAGAAAAAAAAAAAAAGTATCACAAATAGAAAACTAAATACTAAATAATATAAGTGCGATCTAGGTGAAGACATGTCCATTGGATAAATCACGTCTTAATTAAGCATTAACTGATGCCTTTAGATGATAAAGGATACAGAAGAAGCATCATCCTTAGATTATCTCGGAATCTATCAGAGTTTGAATTGCATCCTAACTGTAGTATTGCTACTAATGGAATGACAGAATCGAAGGCTTTTAAGAACAAAGTTCTAGTATGAAAAATTTCCAACACCCTTGCAAAAATGATAGGAGTAGAGAAGCATGTAATATGAGTAATGAATAATCTCAAAGATATGAATATACATTTTCGAGTAGTAAAACTGTAAAAGTTCTTTCATAAGAAAAAGTTGACCTTACAAGTATCACATTGGCTTTCTAGAATCTGACAGAGGTACTTGGGGTGAAAGCAGGGTCTTTTGATCATTTTCATCAAACTCAAGACCTTCACCTCCCTCGTATCCAGTATTCCCAGTCCTTGTCACATATCTACCTTTATAACTCAGATCATCTGATTCTGAAAATTGAAGTGGGGCCTGTTCTGATATTGTAGGAGAAACACCATCTTCCATTAACTGCATCTCTGACTCTATCAAAGCTTGCATCTTAGCTCGCTCTCTATCTCTAGGGTATGTGCAATAAAGGAAGGAGTAAATGAAGCAGCAAATTGGAAATGGGATTCCAATCGCTGTGTAAAGTGCCTTAGCAAGTGATGCACCGTTTTCTCTGTCTGTTTCAATTGCTGCAGCATCTGATGATCCTACTGCAGCTGGCTTATATCCATAAAGATGTTGAGCTAGGATACCAACTATGGGGGGAGGAAATGAGGCTAGTGTAGTCTCAAAAGAGCGGTCCAATGCATATATGCTTGTTCGATGTTTCTCAGGTACTATTTCTGCAAAGATTGGGCTGATAAACCATAACCATCAGTTGTGTGCTTAATAATCTTGTGTAAAAATGAAGCATGAAACTTGAGTACAGTATACTTTCTACCAAAAAATATGTAATGTGACTTCAAAGAAAAAAATGAAAAAAGACCTGCATTATTCTTTTCACTCAATGAAATGAGAAAGTTCGAAGAAAAACTAACATAAAAAGGACTAATAAGTTACTGTATAAGCCAAAAAGTTCAAGTTCAGATGATAGTTTTGCAATTGAAAGGAATAAAAAAAGCCTAAATGAGGAAAATGACATACTTGTTTGTGGCTGCTGCATTCCAAGTTATGATAAGTCCCATAATACAGAAAACTAAACCGTGCCAAAAAGCAGTGGAAGGATCATCTGGTAATCCTAACAACAGTATTGCTGCTAATGGAATGGCAGAACCAGAGCTTATCTGAGACAGAATGATTCGTCCAGAATTTGGCAAACGTCTTGAAAGGATATCCCCCATTCTACCTCCAAAAAACCCCCCTATAGCACCGGCAATAGCAAATATAGTCATAAGGAGCGCGGTAGTCTTATGGGAAAAACCAATAAGCTCCAACCACATTGGTACAAATGACAATGCTGACCATGGAAATGAACCAGCAACACCCTGAGCAACAAATATCTGGAAGGATGGAATTCGCACTACTGATTTTGCTACCTCTAACACCTCCTTAATCTCTACCCAAAAAGACATTCGTGTATTCTCCTCTTTAGCCTTCTCACTCTCATCTACAAAGCGAGGATCACTGGCAAACAGTCGCACTAGAATGCCAACAATAACACTTACAATTCCGACTAAATGAAAAGCGACCCTCCAGCCAGGGATTCCCATGAATGTTGTAGAGGCTATCGAGACCGAGCAGATGTTTCCAAGGATTGAGCCTAGGCCACTTGTGAGATGTAACCACCCAAATGCCGTGCCACGATTACTGTCATCAGTGGAGTCTGCAACCAGGGACTGTATTGAAGGTATAACAATAGCAAGTCCAATACCATTTAATGCCCTCGACACTGCCACCTGATCATTAATCAGAACTCAGAAGATTCATAATAAGTGATCCAGGAATTGGGTTATGCATGGGAGCTGTCCATAAATAGCAAAAGTTCAGGTAATTAGATTTTCAGTACTTTACTGGTACAATGCCCTCAATTGATACAGCTTAATTTATCTTAAAAACAATTCTTATAGATGTATATTCTCATCATTAGGCCCTATTCACTACTAACATTATGCACTACTTATATACTTGGTAGTAAATAAATTGATCTCTAATTAGAACGAAATTCATGAATTAGGCTCTGAACATGAAATGTTGGATTAAAAAAAAGTCAATGCAAGGTTAAGGTAGATCAATCATGTAGGCAAATATGAATCATTCATAATAAAAATTAGAAAAGTCAAAGGATGATGGAAAAAAAAAAACAGAGACCTGGAAAAAAGTGGAGGAGAAAGCGACGAGAAAAGTAGCAGCAGACCAAAGAAAAGGGCCGAGAGCAATAACATGGGCCCGATTGTGGCGGATAGCAAGATAACCAGTGTTGATAAGTATATTAGGTGACTCGTACTTCGTAGCTTTGTCCGCCCGATCGGGCGGACATTGCCCGGTCTGACCGGGCGGAAGAAGAAGAGGTGCCTGGCAAATTCGTTGAAGAAGCTGCTCTCGCGCCCGACCGGGCGAGCCTTCGCCCGACCGGGCGAGCCTTCGCCCGATCGGGCAGACCTTGCCCGGTCTGACCGGGCGGTGGGGGTTGGATACGTTGAAGCATTCGTATGGAGTTTTCTTCTCGCGCCCGATCGGGCAGACCTTGCCCGGTCTGACCGGGCGGAGAAGGAAAAATACGGAACGCGGATTTTGCGGTTTTAGGTTATCTTATTTTATTATCTTTTTGCCCAAGTATCTTTTAATTAGGGATTAATATAAAACCTCCCTAATATCAATATTAGGGTTAAAAGAGACAGAGTGAGAGCCGTTCTTGAGAAATACAAGAATCATCTTTGTAATCTTTGCAGTTTATAGTGAAATCATTCGATCTCGGTGCCCGTGGACGTAGCTATCACATCGATAGTGAACCACGTAAATTCTTGGTGTTGTTCTTATTGTTTGCATTGAATTTCTTTATTGTTTTCTTGTTTGTTTTCGACCTTTGCTTCCGCTGTCGCACAACAATTGGTATCAAGAGCTCAGGTTCAATCCTTGGAGAGTTTCTTGAAGATAACAATGGCAGGAGATTCAACAATAAGAATTGAGAAGTTTACCGGGAAAAATAGTTTCGGGCTATGGCAAATTAAGATGAAGGCTCTGTTAAAACAACAGCAGATATGGCGTCCGTTGGCTCCAAAGAGTACTACTTCGGAGTCAGGAGACGGACCGACTGACTCGCAGTTAGAAGTTATGGAAGAGAAGGCACACTCTACCATATTACTTAGTCTTGATGATCAAATCATCACGGAGGTTGCTGATCAGGAAACGGCGGCTGGATTGTGGCTGAAGCTGGAGTCATTGTATATGACTAAGTCGTTGACCAACAAATTATTACTGAAACAGCGGTTGTTTAGCCTCCGGATGCAGTCAGGTACTTCCTTACGGGAACATCTAGAAAAACTTAACTCTATTTTGCTTGATTTACGTAATTTAGATGTTAAAATTGATGATGAGGATGCTGCGTTGATTTTACTTGTATCTCTACCGTCTAGCTTTGAGAATTTTGTAGAGTCTTTTGTTGTTGGTAAGGATTCTATAACCTTAGAAGAAGTGAAGGCAGCACTTCATACTAGGGAACTCAGAATGAAAGCTACGAGTGATAATGGGGATAATGGTAGTGGGTTGTTTGTTAAGTCCGGAAAGTCTAAAAAGAATAAGGGGTTTAACAAGGGGAACAATGCTGGGTCGGGTGCTGGAAACGGCAAGGATGGATCTAGTAAAACTACTACTAAAACATGTTATTACTGTAAAGAACCGGGTCACTTTAGGAATAATTGTCCGGTGAGGAAAAACAAGTCCCAGGCTGCTGTAGTTGAAGAGAAACCGAATGAGAGCTATAATTCAGAGGAAGATTTAGCATTAGTCAGTTCTGCTAGGTCTGATGATTTATCTGATAACTGGGTTCTAGATTCGGGGTGTTCGTTCCATATGTGTCCACGTCGAGATTGGTTTGATACATATGAACCTCGCAATGGGGGTATGGTTATAGTCGGTAACAATGCTCCATGTAAGGTCACAGGTATTGGTTCCATGAGGTTGAGGACTGTTGATGGGCGGAGGTTAACTTTGACTAATGTACGGCATGTTCCTGCTTTAGGAAAGAATCTGATTTCATTGGGTACCCTGGATGAATTGGGGTACAATGGTGTGTTTTCAGATGGGGAGTTGTGTATTTTCAGAGGTTCTGAGTTGGTACTTAAGGGTATCAAAAGGAACACCCTCTATGTTTTTGAGGGTGTTACACTGCCTAGTTCTGCGGTTTGCGCATCTGTATCTCACCAGGAGATGACTAAGATTTGGCACATGAGGCTTGGTCATATGGGGGAGAAGGGGATGCAGCTATTGTCCAAGAGGGGTCTTCTATCCGGGGTCAAGGTTGCCAACCTTGAATTTTGTGAGCATTGTGTGTTTGGTAAGAAACACAGGTCAAAGTTCAGCAAGGGTGCTCACATTACTGATGCAGTGCTCGATTACATCCATTCAGATTGCTGGGGTCCATCTAGAGTTGAAGGTATGGGAGGTTACCACTATTTTGTGTCATTTGTTGATGACAAGTCCCGATACACATGGCTTAGGTTGCTTAAGTCAAAGGATGAGGCCTTCAAAGTTTTCAAGCAATGGAAAGCTTTGGTGGAAAATCGACAAGGAAGGAAGATCAAGAAGCTACGAACGGACAATGGGCTAGAGTTTTGCAAAGACGAGTTTAATCAGTTCTGTGCAGATGAGGGTATAGGTCGGCATCATACTGTCAGGAAGACACCACAGCAGAACGGTTGTAGCAGAACGGGTTAATCAGACACTGCTAGAGAGAGTTCGATGCATGCTCTCTAATGCAGGGCTTGGGAGGAGGTACTGGAGTGAAGCTGTGTTAACAGCTTGTTATGTCATTAATAGGGGTCCTCATTCTGGAATTGATTCCAAAATTCCGTTTGAGATCTGGAGTGGTAAGTTGCCTAATTTTTCGAATTTGAAGATTTTTGGTTGTGTTGCTTATTATCATGTTATTGAGGGTAAGCTGGATCCACGAGCCAAGAAGGGGTGTTTTGTTGGGTACGGGGATGGTGTGAAGGGGTTTAGAATTTTTTCACCTTCGGAGGGTCGGGTCATTCTTAGTAGGGATGTTACTTTCGATGAAAACACCATGTATTCAATTAAAAATGCAGAGATTTCAGATTTGAGAAGGGAAGGAGACAATTTATTACAGACAGATGGGGTACTTGAGGTACATCAGTCTACCATTGCTGATTTACCTCGGGTACAATATATTGATGATGATGCTGATGTTCCAGTGCCGGGTACTCCTGAACCTGAGATTACTCCTACTCATTCTAACTCTGGGGATGAGGTGGAGCAATCTAATCAGGGGTCATCTAGTCAACCTGACACCATTCTTGAGATGCCTAAACGAGTTATCAAGAAGCCTGTTAGATTGATTGAAGAGATGGAGGGAAGAAATTGCTGTGTTGATGCGATGACAGGTTATGCATTGAGTGTAGCTGATGATGTAGAGTCATTTGAACCTGCCACATATAAACAAGCAATTAGTTGTAGTGAGTCTGCGCAATGGCTTGCCGCAATGGGTGAAGAGATGCAGTCCCTTTACAAGAACAGAGTGTGGGAACTGGTAAAGGTACCGGAAGGGAGGAAGCTTGTGGGTTGTAAATGGATTTACAAGAAGAAAGAAGGGTTGTCGGAAACTGAGCAAATACGTTTTAAGGCTAGGCTAGTTGCTAAGGGGTTCAGTCAGGTAGAAGGGGTTGACTTTGTTGAGATATTCTCACCTGTGGTTCGACATACTTCTATCCGTGTGTTATTGTCAATTGTAGCACATTTTGATCTTGAGCTGGAGCAGTTGGATGTTAAAACGGCCTTCCTTCATGGCGATTTGGAGGAGGAGATTCTGATGAAGCAGCCCGAAGGATTCGAAGTTCCTGGAAAGGAACACTATGCCTGCAGATTGCTAAAGTCATTGTATGGACTTAAGCAATCCCCCCGACAGTGGTACAAAAGGTTTGATTCTTTTATGGTTTCACAAGGTTTTGACAGGAATTCATATGATTGCTGTGTGTATCATAGTAAGCTGGATAATGGTTCCATGATTTATCTTTTGTTATATGTTGATGACATGTTGGTTGCCACAAAGAATAAATCTGATATTGCTAGATTAAAGGAGATGCTTAACTCGGAGTTTGACATGAAAGACTTGGGTGCAGCTAGGAAGATTTTGGGTATGGAGATCTACAGGGATCGGGCTAGAGGTAAGCTTTTCTTGACTCAGAAAAGCTACATTGAAAAGATTCTGTCTCGTTTTGGGATGGAAAAATCGAAGCCTATAAGTACGCCAACTACTGTTAGTTGTAAGTTGTCTTTGTCTATGTCACCTCAATCAGAGGAGGAGTTGTCTTATATGTCTAGAGTTCCATATGCAAACGCGGTTGGTTGTTTGATGTATGCTATGGTCTGTACTAGGCCGGATATTGCGCATGCTGTTAGTGTTGTAAGCAGGTTTATGGCTCGACCTGGGAGGGAACACTGGCAAGGGGTGAAAAGGATTTTTCGCTACCTGAGAGGGACAACTGATATTGGTCTTGTGTACGGGAATGGTAGGGAATGCTTGGTCACTGGGTACAGTGATTCTGATTATGCAGCTGATGTGGATACCAGGAGGTCTGTGACTGGTTATGTGTTCACTTTGGGTGGTTCTGTGGTTAGTTGGAAGTCTACATTGCAGTCATCAGTTACGTTGTCAACTACTGAAGCTGAGTATATGGCTTTAACTTCTGCAGCTAAGGAGTCTATTTGGCTCAAAGGCCTAGTAGGTGAACTGGGTATTGCACAGGATTTTGCTACAGTGTATTGTGATAGTCTAAGTGCGATTTGCTTAGCTAAAGATCAAGTACACCATGATCGGACGAAGCACATTGATGTCAGGTATCATTTCTTGCGTACTGACAAGAGGATTAAGGTGAAGAAGATTGGGACTGCTGACAACCCGGCTGATTTCTTCACTAAGCCTGTTCCGTTTAGCAAGTTTAAACATTGCTTAGACTTGCTAAATATTGATTACTACGTGATGTAGTAGGCCCTGAGGGGCGAAGTTGGGGAGCTCCTGGTGTAGGTGTGTTGGCCTTAAGGTGGAGCTTGCCCGGGGCTTGTGATGCAGGTGGAGCATTATGAGTTGTTATACTTGGAGACGAGTATGTGATGGGTCTTGGTTGAAGACTTATCGGGATGTATGGCTTATGCATGAGTCCTGCATCGGGTTTGGCTTGAGATGTTTTTTCACTATGTCTTGATGGGGTCGTTTGCTGACTACGAGTTCTCGTCAAGGTGGAGATTGTTGATAAGTATATTAGGTGACTCGTACTTCGTAGCTTTGTCCGCCCGATCGGGCGGACATTGCCCGGTCTGACCGGGCGGAAGAAGAAGAGGTGCCTGGCAAATTCGTTGAAGAAGCTGCTCTCGCGCCCGACCGGGCGAGCCTTCGCCCGACCGGGCGAGCCTTCGCCCGACCGGGCGAGCCTTCGCCCGATCGGGCAGACCTTGCCCGGTCTGACCGGGCGGTGGGGGTTGGATACGTTGAAGCATTCGTATGGAGTTTTCTTCTCGCGCCCGATCGGGCAGACCTTGCCCGGTCTGACCGGGCGGAGAAGGAAAAATACGGAACGCGGATTTTGCGGTTTTAGGTTATCTTATTTTATTATCTTTTTGCCCAAGTATCTTTTAATTAGGGATTAATATAAAACCTCCCTAATATCAATATTAGGGTTAAAAGAGACAGAGTGAGAGCCGTTCTTGAGAAATACAAGAATCATCTTTGTAATCTTTGCAGTTTATAGTGAAATCATTCGATCTCGGTGCCCGTGGACGTAGCTATCACATCGATAGTGAACCACGTAAATTCTTGGTGTTGTTCTTATTGTTTGCATTGAATTTCTTTATTGTTTTCTTGTTTGTTTTCGACCTTTGCTTCCGCTGTCGCACAACAACCAGCAAGTGGATAACATGAGGTTTGAACTATGGATCTGAACAGGGTTAGTGAGCCCAGCCCAGTTGGGTCTGTATGAAGTGCTGCTCCAACTTCTTTGTAAACTCCTGGTAGTAATGATTCATCTGCTCTTTCCATTATTCCTGCTAAGTTTACTAACACCAGTGTTATTGTCTCTGATTTCATTTTTCTGGGTTTTGGGTGTTTGTTCAGTTTGTTAAGTTTCTGGAGTTTTGACGTTGTTAATGGTTGATTTGTGTTTGTTGACTTGGAGTTGAATGAGTGTTTTTAAGGTTTTTGATTGGTCATTCTTCAATGGTAATGCTTCCAACATTTTGTGAATGGGGTCCTTCTATTTTTTTTTTTCTTTCTAGTTGGCATTTTTTAAAACTTGTTATGGGAGGTAAAGTTGTATCACTAGACACCCCAACTGCAAGAATTATTAAGTGCTCCGTAGGTTATTACTAATAAACTAATTGGCAATAAATCTTTATGAAATGTTTATTGTTTGAAAATGACCGAAATTTGCTCTTTAGTGCATCATTTAGGTATGGGTCTCGCTACGTGAATAAATAAAAAGCTAAAATTGATTGTATAACAGTATTTGGTAAATATGGAATATTTATTTGCTTGTTTGTAGTAAATTGGTTTACAAATTTACAATGGCAACAAGCTCATGTATGAGACGATCTTAAAGTCACATTAACTAGACTCACATAATACTTGCTTGTAATACGTCCGGTAACTATATACGAAGTAGAAAATTAGAAACTTAAAATTGCTTAAATCTTGATACTCTTCAAAGTTAAAGATTCAGGTCTCTACAAGCCTACAAATCGCTTGAGTTATCTTAAGCAAGGATCGTTTATTTACTTAGAATTTTAGCTGATAAATCCAGTCCAATCAGATATATTTGGGCTCTGCATTGGATAATAATCAATATGGGCCTTGGTAAATCGATTAATGAAAAAACATGGGCTTTTTTTGGCTTCTACTTTGGGCTAGTTGCACTGTAATTCTCCAATGTATGTTACGGAGTTGGTACTCCAGAAGACATAAGCTTTACCAACTACAATGTACGTGTAAGATATTAGAATAACAAATTGTACTTATCAAAGTGATGAACTGATGATAACATTCTTATGTTTGATTATTATCCTCATATTTTCGTCAACAATGTTGATAAATGTGGTGAGTAAAAGAAAAAATATCACCTAATGTAATTGAAAATGACTTCAAATTGATCAAATATTACCACATAACCCCTTTTGTTGATAAAATTCCTATCTCCAATTGATTTAAGTAATTGATTCAAGTACTGGAATAATGACGATATCAGGCCCATTCTACTCTCTTTGTTCATTGATCAACAAGGGTATGTAAATCGATATTATCTTTTAAGTGACAACATTAGTCAAACATTGAAAGGATCCCTAATAATTGTAGCGTTGTGTTTAATATTAGAATTTGTTACAAATCAAAATTGTTAGGGTTACACAAAAGATGTGTGAGAGTTTAAATTATAGATAATATTATAATTAATTGTTTCATAAAAAAAATAGAATACTCCGTACTTGCAAATTATATAAGGCCATGCTCTTTTGAGCTGTTGTGGTCCTGCTCAGCTGAGTATAAATTAGCTGTTCTCCTCTGTTGACACCTGCTCTGCCAAAACCTTAAAAGAACAGGACCTTAATTTGTCATGGAAATAAAATAAAAACAATTTATGTAATTATGTCCCACTTAGCAATACAAACTGGATTTCACGAAGTTTTATGACTATTAAAGTGTTCAATTAGATACACAAAGATTTCATAATTAGGATGAAAATGGCCCCATCAAAGAGACAGATTAAGAGGAAGATCCCAATATTGCTTGCTGTAAGGATGGCGTAGTGGCAGGCAATGTTGGTTCGTGAAATTCACTTCTGACCCACCATGCTACTATGCTATATTGCTAATTGATATATATGGGTTATCATGTACGGACTGCAACTGTTTTTCATATAAGATACTTCAATAAAAAAAAAAAAAAAACGTTCTACATGTGTAGATTAATTTAATTGTGTTTTTAAATGTTTTAGAAATATAACCGGCTTAATTATAAATATTCAGTAATGATTGTACCTTGTGTTGAGCCAACATGTTAAGGGTTGGCTAAGAGCCTAAGAGTAATTCAGGCACACCCATGTATGTGCCCATCATATGTGTAAATGAAATTTCGATTTATTTCGTAGTGAATATCATGTCAAGACGTGTCATGATTTTCCAACCAAAAACAAAGGTCAAGCAATGAATAATCTATCAGTTGTATGTGGCCACTCTATTATGGGTTTGTGCTTAACACAATGAAGATTTATCATAACATGCCTAGTCGAGCGGGCATGTGCCATATATAATCCGTACTATATATGCCTAGTGCCATACATATTACATACTGCCATGTTTAGGGAAGACCGGAATAGTGCCAATTTTTATTGAGCAACATCTCTTTCAAACTGTACTCCCATAAAGCCACTTTGGGAGGGAGGTGTAAAGGTGAGAAGAACTTTCTTCATAACGGCTGAAATACTGTATAATATAAATCAAATTAAAGTTGCTTGTCTCTATACTCATACTATGGAGTATAATACGAAGTACATATACTTCCTGTTTTCACTTTATATTGACCTTGCGCTAATTTTGATTATTAATGAAATTAATATATTTGAAATCAATAGAGCAAGTTTCCTTTACACCCTCCACTTCAAAGATTTCAGTGGGGATTGTGCTATCATTACTATACAATATTATTCAGAAATGAGGCTTTTTAAGATCTCACTACCTTGAATAAAGGTAATGTGTAAATGTGCAATCATAGCATATATTTTATCTACCTATTGCCATTCTCTTCCGGGCCCTATCAAAACAAGGGGAATACTACCTCCGTCAAATATTAGTTGCAATTTTAGGGTATTATTTGTGATATATAAAATATTTCAAAGTTGCAACTAATATTTAACGGAGGTAGTATAAATTATCTAAAATGTAAATTTTTCATCAAATTATAATTTTGCTTTTTGAATATAAATGAATGAATCCTAACATGTGACAGAAGATATAAGCATATATATATAACCATTAAACTAAGAGGCTATGCCTAACAAGCCTACATTTAAAATGGTTTAATTTAAACATATTACCTCATCGTCCACATACAAATTAAACATAGTTTGCGTTCCTTAAGAGAAATAATAGGCTATATATTTTCAACCCAAAAAAAAAAAAATTAATAAGTATAGCTTGTTATGAAATATTGGGTGCTTGTATCATCCAAAATATTCTAGATCTAGGGTTTATTGTTATCCAAGCAAACCCTAATTATATTCATTAATTCTCTCCCAATCTCTCATGTTTCTCCCTATTTCACAACATGTTATCAGCACCACGGCTCTACCCGAACATTATATTAAAGATCATGATTGTACCTTGATAATCTTGTCAATTTGATCGAAAAAAGGTACGTTTTTCCTCCCAATGGTTTGTTATTCACCTAATATTCTGTGTTAATTTGAAATTTGCTTTTGTATTGGTATAATACCATGGCGCTATTATTAATTTATTAGCAAAGTATAATCTGTCGGTTTTTTTTTTTTTTTGGTTGATTTAATAAACTTAAGAAGATTATTAATGGTTGAAAGATAGCTAAAAGCATAATTTTAATGTGTCGTAACTCATATTTTGAATTATTTCGCTCTTGGAGGGTTTTCGACTTTTTGAGTGCAAAGTTCAGTAAAGTGAATTGGGAATTTTTAGTACATATTTTGTATGAAATTCATTTTGCAATTATCGTAATTGATATTCTAAAGAGTTTTAGAAAGATCTGGCCTTATTTTATGATTTACATGCAGTAATAAATTGTTTCATGTTAATTTATAGGCCCTTTAATTATACAAACTTTATAATGATATTTTTTTATTCCTCTATTATGTTATTGTTACTATTTATTGATTACATGATGTTTTGCGTAATTGTTTATATGGCGAATGATCGATTTTGTATAGCGTTAGAGCATGTTATTGAATTTATTGCTTTTTAATCTAATGATTACTCTGTTTGATTTATGATCTTCTTTCCTTAATACGATAAACCATGATATAAGTATTACTATTGGATGATGGGTGTTTTAATCTTTAGATTACATATAAGTTATATATACTTATGTTAATTAATTTTAAGTTATTTTATCAATGTATATATCTATTATACTTTTTCTACTATGTTTTATGTTCAGCCGCGACTTAATGCATTCAACTATACTTGTTAAATCAAATTATCAAATTTATCATGACTTTCCATGATCCTATACACCTATGGGCTAATTATATGTTTAGTTTGTCTTTTATTGGTTTATTATGTTTATATTGTTATATATTGTACTTTGTACTTGTGTTGCATGTTAACACTCAAGACATAATCTTTATCTTGTTAATGTGTTTTAATCCTTATCCTTGAGAGTTAGTTAATGCTGATCTTGAAGTGTCATATAGTTGATCTTTCTCTCTAGTCTACTAGTAAGCATGCAATGTAAAGAACCAATTGTTTTTGAAAGAAATCTTATTGACCCTAGTTCCGTCTTAGAAATTATAATGTTTGATTTTCCTAGTTGTCCTTATTTGTCTTGCGGCCAATGTTTTACTTGATGACATTGTATATATACTGCATCAAATGCAAAGAAACAATAACAGACTATAGAGAATTATCTCTTATTAATTTGCATAACATACTTCATATTAATTTGTATCAAATATTAACATACTTCATATTACTTTTGTGAATTATATATACATGTTATATGAATATCAACTTAATTTATGCATGGTCACTAAAATAATACTATATACTTGCTTAAATCGTGATTTGTGGGTTCAACAATTACATGTTTGTATTATTCTAACTTTAATAATGTATATGCATTACAACTAAATATATATGATTCTGATTCCCTTTCACAAGCCTATGATGTTTGACTAGATGTCAACACTCTTTGTTTTTCTAGTTGACCTCAAATTATGTTAATCACAATTTATCTTATTTTTCCACATGTAATGTTGAAATTCTTTTATTTTGTTAATTAGATGGGAAAGGATTTGATTGATGAACAATAGTTTGTGATGACAATAATTAATGACTATTACATGCGATATATAAGATTTTTACGGAATGATCGATCCAAACATATAGTGTCATACTAGTAACTTGCAACCTAATACTCTATAATTACATATCTCTCTCCATTTCTGGGACTAGAAGTTTCAAATATT